TGGACCCCAACTTGGACCAACTTGAAAACTGGACCCATAATCAAAAATCTAAACACATGTTTAGATTCAGCATATCAAAGAACCCCAAGAATTCAATTTTTGGTAAAATCAAACTAAGTTTAATTTTGGACCCTTTGGACCTTAATGTAGACCAATTTAAACAAGAGTGGACACACTGAAATGTCTCGCCTGTTTTAGTGTTCATAGTTGAATTTATGTTGAAAGTAAAAAAAATAAGTTTATATAAGCTTTACATTAAATTAACATTTTAATGATGAATGAACATGAAGTCAAGGTGAGATAAACCCTATCAGACAAACATGTAGGCCGTACAATCATTCCATACACCAAATTTATTTAACATATATTGCCTAAAGTATCTTAGAAACAAACCTCATTGAGGAAACTGAACTTTGACCAATGAACCATAAAATGAGGTCAAGGTAAGATGACACCTGTCAGACAGACATATACACATAACATTCATTCCATACAGAAAATTTTATGAACTACACTTATCTGCCAGTTGGAAATGTGAACCTTACGATCATTCTATACACCAAATATAGAAGACCTATTGGTGATAGAATTTGAGATATGGACTTTATCATGAAAACTAAATCTTGTTCACTGATCCATTAAATGATGTCAAGGTCAAATGAAATATGTCTGACAGATATGTGAACCATGCAAGGTACGCACATGCCAAATAAAGTTATCATTTTACTCATAATAATTAAATTAACATCTTTGAATAAGTGATCTGATGATTTGAGTAATATTTGAATATTTGTAGATTTTGTTTTACAGTTCTTGACATTCTTAACGAAATATAATAGACCTTTAGTGAGCAAGCTCACATTACCATGGCCCCCATATAAATCATGATTTAAGACAGTAATATGGTCTTCTGCAAATCTATTGTTAGTAAATAGGACCTCGAACTAAGACATAGCGACTTGAAAAACAATAGCCAGGGATCTTCCTCTTCTTTCTGTTAATTTATGTAGCCACATATCCAAGTTAAGTTGCAATCCCATTGAATACATCCTGAAACCTATGTTCAAATTTTAGTCTTTTTTAGTTACCTTGACCTTAGGCTTAAATATAGGTCTGTAATGCTTTTACATTCATGTTGAGTAACATGTTTTTAGAAAAAACAGCATCATAAAATCATATGGGATACACTTTTGGCTAATAAATCACAGGCAAATATAGCAACAACATTTGAGTAAATAAAATCGCATTATACAAATTTTTTTTTTGAAACATTAAGTCAAATGACTACTTAAAGCAAACTTTGAAATTTCTTATGAAATAATTTTTCATCTAGATTTAAGGTTCATCAGAAGGGATTGACAAATATGGCCATTTTTTTTTTATTTCCTCTTGAGTACAGACAAACCTGTGCACAAGGAAAAGTTTTAAGGCATTGCAGAAACTGGATAAATATTTGTCAATTCCTTGAGATGAACCTGAAAGACCCCCCCCCCCCCCACCCCCAAAAAAAAAAAAACAAAACTAAAATTATCTTCAATCTTTGATCAAAATATTGTAAAAAGTCATATTTTCATATCATCTATTTATCTATTTATGTTGCTATGCTAAAATATTTTTTACTTATCTCAATACTTATCTTATTTCATATGTATCAAAAATCAGTAAATGTGATTCTGTTGTGCAAACAAAATTTCAAAAGTTCTTCAATCTGTACATATTCAGCCAATTAATCTTTATGAAGGGACTGGAGTGAACTGTATTCTATGTTAAACTTTCATGCATGAGTGACCTTATTTTAACATTTTCACACCTTCCAATGTTTTTGTTAATCACGGTTTAGTAATGATCCCTTAAAAGTTTTTATTATTTATTATCATTATTAATGTTATTTTAAGATTTTTATAAAATAATCTATTTCAATGTAAGTAATCAGCATTTAAATAATAAAATACATTCCATACACCAAATATAGTTGACCTATTACTTATAGCATCTGAGAAGAAGACCAAACAACAGAAACTTAACATTGACCAATGAACCATGAAAATAAGCTCAAGGTCAGATGAAACCTGTCAGACAGACGTGCACACCTTACAATCATTCCATACACCACATATAGTTGACCTATAACTTATAGTATCTGAGAAGAGGACCAAACAAGAGCAACTTAACATTGACCAATGAACCATGAAAATGAGGTCAAGGACAAATGACACCTGCCAGACAGACATGTACACCTTACAATCATTCCATACACCAAATATAGTTGACCTATTGCTTATAGTATTAGAAAAACAGACCAAAACACAAAAACTAAACATTGACCAATGAACCATGAAAATGAGGTCAAGGACAAATGACACCTGCCAGTCAGACATGTACACCTTACAATCATTCCATACACCAAATATAGTTGACCTATTGCTTATAGTATTAGAAAAACAGACCAAAACACAAAAACTTAACATTGACCAATGAACCATGAAAATAGGTCAAGGACAAATGACACCTGCCAGACAGACATGTACACCTTACAATCATTCCATACACCAAATATAGTTGACCAATGGCTTATAGTATTAGAAAAACAGACCAAAACACAAAAACTTAACATTGACCAATGAACCGTGAAAATGAGGTCAAGGTCAGATGAAACCTGCCAGACTGACATGTATCCCTTATAATCATTCCATACACCACATATAGCTGACCTACTGCTTGTAGTATCTGAGAAACGGACCTAATCACGTAACTTTAACCTTGATCACTGATCCATGAAATGAGGCTGTGGTCAGGTGAACCCTGTCTGATGGACATGAAGACGTTGCAAGGAACCCATATACCAAATATAGTTATCCTATTACTCATAATAAGTGAGAAATTTACATAACAAAAAAACTAAACTTTTTTTTCAAGCAGTCGCTGAACCATGAAAATAAGGTCAAGGACATTGGACATATGACAGACGGAAAGTTCGTAACATAAGGTATCTGATTACAAAGTATGAAGCATCCAGGTCTTCTACCTTCTGAAATATAAAGCTTTATACAAATAGTTTACGCCGCTGTCGCCGCCGCCGCCGGATAGTAATACCTATGTCTCACTTTCTGCAACTTTCGTCGCAGGCGAGACAAAAACTGGACCCAAAACTAAAAATCTAAATACACGGTTAGATTTGGCATATCAAAAAACCCCAATAATTCAATTTTTGATGAAATAAAACAAAGTTTAATTTTGGACCCTTTTGACCTCAATATGAACCAATTTGATAGTGGGGCCCACAAATAAAAAATCTAAATACATGGTTAGATTCAGCATATCAAAGAACCCCATATATTCAATTTTTGTTGAAATCAAACAAAAAAGTTTAATTTTGGACCCCAATTTGGACCAACTTGAAAACTGGGCCCGAAATCAAAAATCTAAATACATGTTTAGATTCAGCATATCAAAGAACCCCATATATTCATTTTTTGTTAAGATCAAACTTAGTTTCATTTTGGACCCTTTGGACCTTAATGTAGACCAATTTGAAAACTGGACCCAAAATTAAAAATCTAAATACACGGTTAGATTTGGCATATCAAAAAACCCCAATAATTCAATTTTTGATGAAATCAAACAAAGTTTAATTTTGGACCCTTTTGACCTCAATATGAACCCATTTGATAGCGGGGCCCACAAATAAAAAATCTAAATACATGGTTAGATTCAGCATATCAAAGAACCCCATATATTCAATTTTTGTTGAAATCAAACAAAGTTTAATTTTGGACCCCAATTTGGACCAACTTGAAAACTGGGCCCGAAATCAAAAATCTAAATACATGTTTAGATTCAGCATATCAAAGAACCCCATATATTCAATTTTTGTTAAAATCAAACTAAGTTTCATTTTGGACCCTTTGGACCTTAATGTAGACCAATTTGAAAACTAGACCCAAAATTAAAAATCTAAATACACGGTCAGATTTGGCATAACAAATAAATAAATGTGGTCAAAGATTTTACAAATCTAATGCGCCATACTGTGCAATTAAAGATTACTTCTTGAAATTTTTCAATATTTGAAATTTGAAAAAAAATAATATTTGAAGAATAATTCTTTTTAATTTCTGAAATCTGAAATGAGAAAAAATTGGCCCCCCATATATTTGTCCATATATAAATGCTTGTTTTTTGCCACTTTTATGGCCCCTAATTCCTAAAATTTTGAGGCAATTACCCCCAAAATCAATCCCAGCATTCCCTTTGTGATATGGAACCTTGTGGTACAATGTCAGAGAGATCCATACACTAACACACAAGTTATGTCTGGAGGTTACAAAAATGCTTATTTTTGGCCCCTTTTTGGCCCCTAATTCCTTAACTGTTAGTACCATAACCCCCAAAATCAATCCCAACCTTCCTTTTGTGGTATTGAACCTTATGTTAAAATTTCATAGAGATCCATTCACTTAAACTAAAGTTAGAGTGCGAAAACCAATGTGTCTTTGGACGACGACGATGACGTATTTTTTTATAAAGCAGTCACTGAACAATGAAAATGAGGTCAAGGACAATGGGCATATGACAGATGGAAACTTCGTAACATAAGGTATCTGCATACAAGGTATGAAGCATCCAGGTCTTCTACCTTCTGAAATATAAAGCTGTATACAAATAGTTTATGCCACCGCCGCCGGATAGTAATACCTATGTCTCCCTTACTGCGACTTTCGTCGCAGGTGAGACAATAAAAAACTGTACTGTCTTCAAGTAAATATTGATAAGGGTTGTACAAAACAGCATATGTTTGTTATTAAGGTTATCTAAAAATGATTTATACTTATTTGAATACTTCAAAATTTTTAATCTGCATAATCAGTATAATAAAACAATTATGATCTTGGGTTCTTCTGATAAAAATAATTTGTCAAGTCTGTACAAATTGTTATTATACTCCTCAAAAATCCCAACCTATTTTCAACCAGTTCACTTAATTCTAATATACAACTTACATAGTCTTTCACTTTCTGTCAGTTTCAAAGCCAGCCCTGTACCAGGTATTTGAAATGAATCTGCCCTCTGATCTGGCACACATCGTGCGTTCTGAGACCTTGACATCATAACATCAGTCCAGCTAAGACGTTCATAAACCTACATATAAAATTACTAGAATGAAAAATAACATTAAGATAAAGTTTCAATACAGATGACATTGTTTACAATTTTATAAAATGTTAATATTGTAACAGTAAAATATGGTACAAGCAGCAATATTTCCACGAAAAACTTTAAAGCAGACTTACCATCATCTAATAACTTCCATTAGATTTGCTTTATATCTAAAACCTCTCTATAAAAGTTGGCAATTTAGAATTTTCTTTGATGTGACAAAATAACAGGCTTTTCCTTTTATGATCAAACAAAATTGAAACTGACAGCGAATATTTTCACAGAACTTACCCAGCATCTAAAATTTGAAATGGCATCTTCCTCATCCCATGTGATAAGATAAGATTTATAATCTTCCATCCAAAACCCTACACAGGTCAAATCATAATCAGATACATCTGAAATAGCACATTAAGTTTACTTAAATCAAAATCAACAGTTGATATGCTAGAATTTTAGAAAATGTAAACATACATATTGACAGACTGATAATAATAAATAATAAAATTAGCACACAATGAAAGCCTTATTGTAACAAGAACTCCAGAAATTTGAATAGTTTCCTCTAAAATAAGATATTTTACCCCATTGCACAAACTGGGAATTCTAAAACAACTATTTACAAAATAAATCAGTAGAATAGCCACTATATTACACACCATATTCTCCAATGGGACGTCCTCTGTAATCTACAGTTTCACAGTACTCTGCATCAATAGATATCCTGTTCATATCAACAGGACAAGACTTTATTTCTGAAACAATGATCCTGCAATCAACCTGTATACGTGGTCTTGGTGTAACACCTCTGATCCTGGTAACAATCTTCTCACTATCTTTTACTGGCCACTGCTCAAAGTTAAATCGTCCTGCTATTGGACAAGGCACTGGAGTAGGTGGGTTCACTGTAATAAACCAACATTTTTTTCATAAACAAGAGATTTTAAGTTTTAAAAATACTTTATAAATCATACACAATTGGCATTATTAAAGAAAATTTCACTTGCAAAAGCAAAGACCATATACAAGATCATAATAAGAATTAAATAAAGTGCTGAGTACATGACAAGACAGGAACCCCAAAAAGACTAAATAACACATTCAGAGGAGATAATGACAAAACAAAACATTGATAATCACTGACTAAATTCAGGGTTTAAGCTAGGATTTTGAGGGCTTTAGTCACTTTTGCGCGGGATGAAAATCAACCTTATTTTGGTTAGCAGCAAGGGACCTAGGACGTATATTACTATCTATACATCTTTGTCAGACTTTGAAAGACTTAGGCATACTAGGCAGTTACTGCATGATTTGACTGATGTGGCACTTTAATACGAAGATTAGGATATAAGATCTAGAAATCTAGTTCACAATTTCACTTCAGTTAGTTTCAGGGTACATTCTAATCAGCAAAAGTTGGGATCCATTTTTTTTTAAACCAGGAATCACAGCATAAATGAACTTGTAAGGACTATTTCACTGCATTATTCATACTCATTATCCTTAAAAACGTTTTAAAGCGATATTTAGAATTAATTCTATTAAGTTGGAACCAAGGATTTGTACAAATCCTTATTGGAACAATTCTAATGACTTTAAATTGTAAATTTATCATAAATATATCACGTTTACTTTCAATTTCCAAATGAAATGAAAACAGGAAGTGACAAGTGGATAATAAATTCAGAATGAATCCGGATTCATCTACGGATTGGTTCGTGTTTAAAAAAGGCAGGAAATTATCATTTTCTAAATTAGATTTGCTAAATGAGAACTATATTTGTCTCTCTCCTTTAGTTTGATACTTAATTATTTCGTATTTTACGTTTTAGTGTCTTTAAATTCATAAGAATACTTTTGCGCATGAGCAGTTCATCGTAAAGGAAGCACCTGTTTGACTCGTGAAAACATTTCTGAATGTTATGAATAAAATTCTATCTTTTTAATCGAAATTGTCGAAAGTTTTTGTTTAAAAGTTATATCAGATATGACGAAAATACGTTCATTTGACGAAACAACGACAAGCAAACTGCAAATTGTGATCGTTTGAGAAATATTGAAATTAAAATGCGAACTGTCCAAGGGAAAACTCAAATGACGAAACTACGACAAACGAACTGCAAATTGTGCTCGTTTGATAAATATTGAAATTGAAATGCCGACTGACTGATTTTACTGGGGAAAATAATTATGATGATCAATTTTGAGGTTGATAAAAAATTAACGGATTAGTGACCCATACGATGGCGATAAGCGTATTATCTGTAATCACAACTTGTAACACCTGTTGTAAATGTTAATTAGCTGAGGGTCATAAACTTGTCAGAAACAATAAGACAGGTAGAATTATAGTATTTTCATGCAAAAATATTTTTACTCTTTCCAAATTTAAGTGACGAAATTGATTTGGAATACTTTCGTCATTTTGAAAACCGTTTCGTAAATGACGAAAATGACGAGCGCTAGCAAAATCACTGCTAAATTCCTGACTCAAAAATCAAAACAAAAACTTTTAATTATGCAAATTAAAACTTACAAATAAGAACTTCATATTTCCAGTCTGTTTCATCTCTGTTGTATGTAAAAGACATCCAACTACAGGTTTCTCTGAATTTCTTCACCATGAAATTTCCTACGTCGTCATCTGACAGTCTACTTGGTTTACCTATATATAAAAGTCAATTTAATTATAATCTCTTAAATCCATTATGGTAAAGATTGTTTTTCCATCATGTCCAGAGGAACAAATATTTCCTACATATTCAGGAACAGTTTTTTTATGAAGAAATTAGTAAATTGAACTTTAAGCATTTATCAAATTAAAAGGTTAACTAATCAAAATTCAAAGTTTCTAACATATGATAATTCCATTAATGAAATATTGATTGAATCATTGAAGATTAAGGACATCTTTGCATCACAATGGGTGTTACTAGTGGATCAGGAACTGCCTATCCCTACTGAGAAACTAAGTTCACCAATGGTTTTTGGTGGGTTTTAAGTTGCTTAGTTGTTAGCTTTCTGTGTATTATTTTGTGGACTGTTGTGTGACTTTTGTCATGTTCCATTTTGGCATGATGTCTGTTTTTATTTCACTTGTTTTTTAATGCCCCATTTAGTATGCTTTCCCTTTTTTTTGGAACATTACAACCCTCCTAACACTATGAGTGGTTGGAAATTTAAAGCATATGTTATGATAAAACTAAATGTCTGTACATGTACATACCAACTCTGTATCTGATAACACTGTGATGTCTTGGCATTAAATCAAAGCAAACAAAATCCACTTCACTGAAAATTAAATACAATGAACATATAATAAAATTTACTTCAGAAAATAAACTTAAATTTAAGTATATCTACTTCAATTTGACTTGAAGAAATGTAATTGAATACAAGAGTGCACACTCTGAAATGTTTTGCCTGCTTTACTGGTCATCAGTGAATTTATGTTGAAAGTCTTAGACAAAAAGGTTATACACATAAAATGTATTTACTTAAAATTAACATTATTAATGTGCCATGTAAATTAGGCAATAAGTGAGAAATTCACGACAAAAAACTAAATATATTATTGAGCAGTCACATTTAAAAAAAATTCACATGTGAATACTTCGAACAAATAAATGATATTGACGTATTAATCTTATTATTACCATCTTCCAGCTGTAACTCTAGTCATCATGTATCTTGTTCCTTGTGTCTGTTGACAAGAATAATACGTCTCTAGCAGCTCAAACTCGTTTATCTTTGTCTTATAAGCAATGTGTGTTTCATTTATATAAACATCAGATTTGAACTGTTGACCTTGTGTAAACCATGTGCCAGACATGTTCCTTGGTAGTACACACTGTGGGGGTAGGTAATTTGTTGTTGGAATAACTGCAAAGAGAAAATCAACTTTGAATAACAAAATGCATTATCATGCTAAGCATAACCCAATTTCTATTTACAATATCTGAAAACAAGAAGTAGGTGTCTGAAAGATATATAAATTTTTCATACTATATACATTGTAACTCATCACTGTCAAACTGCTGAACAAATATGAAGTTCTTCTGTTTTGTAGTACTGGAGAATTGTGTGAAGAAAAATTGTAAGTGTACTCAACATATTGAAAAATTCATAGGATTGGCAAAAATGTGGTCACGTTGTCTGACAAATCTAAAAAGTCCTCACATGTTACAATTCATCAATGTTAAGTTGCTGACCAAAGATCAAGTCATTCTGTTTTGTAATGCTTGATAAAAGTGTGAAGAAGTTTTTAATTTCATTCAACAAATTGAAAAATTCATAGGATTCAGTGTTTCCGCTAGCGGTCGCCATTTTAGCATTTTGCGAAAAAATAAAAATTGTGGCAATTAAAATTCATTAAGGTGGCTGGGGCGTCTTAATTAAAATTTGATAATTTGTCAAAATGAAGTTTTTATCATGCTTTTTTCAAAAATATAATAAAAAGTATGGGTCACCAAACTTTTTTTCAGGCTAGAGGTTGTGCAAAATTGTCAGATTTTGTATAGATTATTCATGGAAAATCAAATTTTGTGTGATAAAAAGAAAACTACTTGATAGAACTTTAAGATAAAATGTGAGAAGATAGCTCTTATAAGATGCTTTCAGATAAGAAAAAGAAAAAATGGGGTCACCGAACTTGTTTTCTTGCTACATATCAAAATAGGTAATTTCACAACACTTTCTATTATAAAAATTCGTAAGGGTTCCGCGGAACCCAGTGTCTCGCCTACTTTTTCTGTTAATCGCAGGCTCAACAAAAATGAGGAAGTAAATCAATAAAAATATTCCTCTTGATACTATCTTTTGATTGTAAGAACTTTCTGTCCAAGTTTGGTAAAAATCCAGGATAGTGTATGAATCTAATAAATGTTTAAAAACTTTATCTGCAGACTGAATGTAATGTTAACTTGAAGAAAACAAAATTTCCTTCTAGATACTAGCATTTGATCATAAACAAGCTTCTGTTAAAGTTTGGTGCAAATCCAAAATAGTATAAGAAAGTTATTAAAATTTAAAAAACTTTAACCACAGAGTGAATGTGTTGTTTCCTGACAGGAAATCTAAGTCCATTTAAAAGTAAAATACGGAAAAAATGGATTTATTATTTTACAAAATTTCCTTCTAGATACTAGCTTTTGATCATAAACAAGCTTCTGTCCAAGTTTGGTACAAATCCAAAATAGTATAAGAAAGTTATTAAAATTTTAAAAACTTTAACCACAGAGTGAATGTGTTGTTTCCTGGCAGAAAATCTAAGTCCATTTAAAAGTAAAATACGGAAAAAATGGATTTATTATTTTACAAAATTTCCTTCTGGATACTATCTTATGATCATAAACAAGCTTCTGTCCAAGTTTGGTAGAAACCCAGGATAGTTTAAGAAAGTTATTAAAATTTTAAAAACTTTAACCACAGAGTGAATGTAATATTTCCCGGCAGAAAAACTAAGTCCATTTATAAGTAAAATACGGAAAAAATGGAATTTTATTTTTACAAAATTTACTTCTGGATACTATCTTATGATCATAAACAAGCTTCTGTCCAAGTTTGGTAGAAATCCAAGGTAGTTTAAGAAAGTTATTAAAATTTCAAAAACTTTAACCACAGAGTGAATATTTGTGGACGCCGCCGCCGCCGACGACGACGCCGACGGAATGTAGGATCGCTATGTCTCGCTTTTTCGACTAAAGTCGAAGGCTCGACAAAAATGACTTTATCTGAATTATCTCCCCTTATTCGGCAAAGTTGAAAAAAATCTAATCAAACACAAATAAGGTGTTTTTGAGAAATTACAGCCGTAATTATGATGAAACACACAATTTTCTATATCTACATCAAAAGTCTTTTACATAAGTTACATACTACTCTCAAAATTTGCACATTTCATGAAATATCTAGACCAAAGTTATCTGCTTCTTCTAAATCCAAGATGGAGGAAGACACCAGAGCCACCTTTATTGCGAAAGAAATATAAAGGTCCAACTTCGTCCATTTTGTTTACTTTTTTTCAGGTTTCTCTGACTTTTCCCCTGATCAGACAATAATGGGAATTCACCTTGAACTCATTACGATTTTGATAGAAAATCAATAATCAGCTGATTGGATTTTATAGCTATCAGCAACAATGGACAAGGCTAATTAAAAATTCGTAAGGGTTCCGCGGAACCCAGTGTCTCGCCTACTTTTGCTGTTAATTGCAGGCTCAACAAAAATGATGAAAAAAATCAATAAAAATATTCCTTTAGATACTATCTTTTGATTGTAAGAAGCTTCTGTCAAAGTTTGGTATAAATCCAGGATAGTTTATGAATCTAATAAATGTTTTAAAAACTTTAACTGCAGACTGTATTTAATGTTAACTGGAAGAAAAAATAAGTCCATTTATAAGTAAAATACGGATAAACAGGTACAAATTTTAACAAAATTTCCTTCTAGATACTAGCTTTTGATCATAAACAAGCTTCTGTTCAAAATTTGGTACAAATCCAGGATAGTTTAAGAAAGTTATTAAAATTTTAAAAACTTTAACCACAGAGTGAATATAATGTTTCCTGACAGAAAAACTAAGTCCATTTACAAGTAAAATACGGAAAACAAGGAATTTTATTTTTACAAAATTTACTTCTGGATACTTTCTTATGATCATAAACAAGCTTCTGTCCAAGTTTGGTACAAATCCAGGATAGTTTAAGAAAGTTATTAAAATTTTAAAAACTTTAACCACAGAGTGAATATAATGTTTCCTGACAGAAAAACTAAGTCCATTTACAAGTAAAATACGGAAAACAGGAATTTTATTTTTACAAAATTTACTTCTGGATACTTTCTTATGATCATAAACAAGCTTCTGTCCAAGTTTGGTAGAAATCCAGGATAGTTTAAGAAAGTTATTAAAATTTCAAAAACTTTAACCACAGAGTGAATATTTGTGGACGCCGCCGACGCCGACGGAATGTAGGATCGCTATGTCATGCTTTTTCGACTAAAGTCGAAGGCTCGACAATAAAGGTGTTGATTGTATTGTTTAATGACATGGTGTGGTTACATGGCGTCACATGTCACTGAATGGATTTTTTTACCACTTGGATCGAAACAATCGTTTTAGCGACGCACGTGTTTGAAGCATAGTTTTACGCCTCAACTTTTTTTAACAATGGTCCGGAAAAGAAAACTTTTTGAAGAATAATATTCAAAAATTAGAAAATCTCGAACTTTAATCTTTATCATTTAACTAGACGTATTTGACAAATAACTGAAGATGAAGATGAAAGTCAAAGTCAAAAATGATGATTTCATGATCTATATATTTTTTAATGATGGTTTTTTCAGTAGGTAAATGTTTGTTATTATTGAGTGTTTATTTATAACAATGAAGATTAAAAAAAAATTGATATGTAGAATTATAATAAACAACAATGCGGCAAACTGATTTTTTTTTGGTTAAAAACGAAGATAAATTTTAAACGAAAAATAAGTTTGTTAGTTTGCGAAAAAAATATTGTTTTGGTGAAAGAGTTGGCGAAAAAGAAAGTTGACCCAGGGGAAACCCTGGGATTGGCAAACAGGAAGTAGGTGTCTGAAAATTTGAACAATGCTCACACATTACATATCATCACTGTTAAACTGCTGACCAAACAAGAAGACATTTTGTTTAGTAGCACCTGAGAAAAGAGTGACAGAAATGATTGGTAGACCAAGGGATGGATTGAAGGATTAACAGACCGACAAGGCAAATGCAATAATTTGTAAAAATGCAACTAAAAAAGCATACATGGCCATTATGTGTATTAAGAATATATAAGAACAAGAAATGAATGTAACAGGATGCTGTTACGAAGTCTCCCAAACGAAGTTCCCATAATTCGTAATTCCCAGGGTCGCCTGACATTGGGCAACATCCAGTGAAAATTGGTTTGGTCCAGTAAAGTTATATGCATTAGTGATGCCTGGGGACTAACCTTGTATATCATTCAAATCATCATGACAAACCAGAATATATATGGTTTAGGGGTGGGGATCTCGACCATTTACAAGATACTAGAACATTGGGGGTGGGGAGGAACCCCTGGGGACTGGCCCTATACGTCATTCGATTGTTCATTACATGACGTACAGGAATATATATGGTTTAGGGGTGGGGATCTCAACCATTTACAAGATATTAGAACATTGGGGGTGGGGGGGACCCCTGGGGACTGACCGTATACGTCATTCAAATGTTCGAGACATGACAAATAGGAATATATATGGTTTAGGGGTGGGGATCTCAACCATTTACAAGATATTAGAACTTTCTCAAATGGCAGGGGGTGGGGGTGACCCCTGGGGACTAACCCTGTATTTCATTTGATGTGCTTTATCATGACAAACCAGAATATATATGGTTTAGGGGTGGAGATCTCGACCATTTACAAGATATAAGAACTTTCTCAAATGGCAGGGGGTCGGGATGACCCCTGGGGACTAACCCTGTATATCATTCAAACCATCTTAGCATGACAAACCAGAATATATATGGTTTAGGGGTGGGGATCTTGACCACTTACAAGATATTAGAACTTTCTTAAATGGCAGGGGGTGGGGGTGACCCCTGGGGACTAACCCTGTATTTCATATGATGTGCTTTATCAATACAAACCAGAATTTATGGTTTAGGGGTGGGGATCTCGACCATTTACAAGATATTAGAACTTTCTCAAATGGCAGGGGGTCGGGATGACCCCTGGGGACTAACCCTGTATATCATTCAAACCATCTTAGCATGACAAACCAGAATATATATGGTTTAGGGGTGGGGATCTTGACCACTTACAAGATATTAGAACTTTCTTAATGGCAGGGGGTGGGGGTGACCCCTGGGGACTAACCCTGTATTTCATATGATGTGCTTTATCATGACAAACCAGAATATATATGGTTTAGGGGTGGGGATCTCGACCATTTACAAGATATTAGAACTTTCTCAAATGGCAGGGGGTCGGGATAACCCCTGGGGACTAACCCTGTATATCATTCAAACCATCTTAGCATGACAAACCAGAATATATATGGTTTAGGGGTGGGGTTGACCCCTGGGGACTAACCCTGTATTTCATTTGATGTGCTTTGTCATGACAAACCAGAATATATATGGTTTAGGGGTGGGGATCTCGACCATTTACAAGATATTAGAACTTTCTCAAATGGCAGGGGGTCGGGGTGACCCCTGGGGACTAACCCTGTATATCATTCAAACCATCTTAGCATAACAAACCAAAATATATATGGTTTAGGGGTGGGGATCTTGACCACTTACAAGATATTAGAACTTTCTTAAATGGCAGGGGGTGGGGGTGACCCCTGGGGACTAACCCTGTATTTCATTTAATGGGCTTTATCATTTAGAACATTTTCAATTAAAAAGATTGTGTCTATCACAAACGGTTTTCAATTTATAATCATTTGAAAATTTAAAAAAATAAAATCCCATAGGGTTCTATAGTAAAACCCTCTTTTCTTTTTGCCCCTCAAAGTACCCCTTTATAAACCCCATTGCACAAACAAAACCCTGATTGCACCACTAGACATGTTAGTCTAACATATTGTGAAACCCTAAGTTAATCTGACAAGCGGTTTTGGAGAGCGGGTGCGGACAAGTTCAAATTTAAAAGCGGCGGAAGAAGAAGAAGAAGAAGAATAATAATAATAATAAGAACTGAGCAAAAACAATAAGTCTTCCCAAACTTCGTTTGGGAGACTTAATAATTGGTAAACAGGAAGTTGATGATCAATGAATGAGAAAACACATCACACTGTTAAACATACACATATGAAGCTGGATACAAAACTTCAAAAAGCTGGGATTTGTGGTTCCTTAGATAAGTTTGAAGAACTTTTAATTGGACAGAGAGATTAGGACACAGTAACTGAATGAAAGAAGGATAGAAGTAAACAACTATACCACCCTCCTCTGGAGTGAGGGTATAATAATAAATATTTCTTAAGCATATTATCAAAACAATCTATTAGCGCATAACTGATTTTTATCCTTTAGATGATAGTAGATTGGTTGGAATATTAGGTCAAATTTCATAGTTTCATAAATTAGTTATTAGCGAACATACAATGAAAAAACTTTCTTTCTTTCTGCTATCCATGAAATTTCATCAGTGTATAAATTGATTCTAACCTCTTGTTAACACAAGTTTTCTGTCACCACTATAAATACTATTTAAACTTGTACATGTAGGGAAACGACTCATCACCCAACGGACCTGGTTATTAGGATCCTTCTGATCTTTCAATGTCATCTGTAAAAATCAAACAACATGCCAATGAATTTTAATGTCCTAGGTATAAAAAATTTTCAACAATTTTCATAGACTCTGGGAATTTAAGAGCTCGACATTGTATTTAGGCACTTGTCTATTGTTGAAGACTTTGAGATGTCTTGTTATTGTCTAATTAATGAATACCAACCACAATCTACTTTTATTCATATACAATGACTACCTGGTTGAAACTATAAACATGTGTGTATTATTCATGTCACGTTAGCTATGGATCACTCATACTTATTTTGTAATGGTATCTTCCCTAAATTTTAAAAGATCTATGTCATGGTGTTAATTGTGTTTATAAACTCAAGCTAGCTTTGATTGACACAATAAACTGTTAACACAGAGATATGTCTCGACTATTTGTTATTTTGATAATGCAAATGTTGAAATTAAAATTGCAATACTTTAACATGTAAGTTATGCAAATATTCAAAGTCAATGAACCATGACTGAAGGTACAGGGCTAAACAATCTCCATGGAAATGAGATGTGCCAATGCTAATACAACTGCAAACCAAATACCATTGACTTTTCATAAGTTGTTCCCTTTAAACAAACCTAAACACAAACATTAACTTGTAAACTATGTAAAAGTTTCAAAGTCAATGAACCATAATTAGGGGGTGGGGTTATATAATCTCCATAGAAATGAAATTTGCAAATGCCAATACATTTGCATACTGAATATCATTGACTTAATATTAGTGGTTCATCTTAAACTGACCTAATCACAAACTAATACATGTAAACTAAGCAAAAGTTTCAAAGTCAATAGACCATGACTGAGGGGTAAGGACCAAATATTCTCCATGGAAATGAGATGTGCTAATGCCTATACAACTGCATACCAATTATCATTGGCATACCACTAACAGTTCCCCTTAAACTGACCTAATCACAAACTAATACATGAAAACTAAGCAAAAGTTTCAAAGTCAATAGACAATGAATGAGGGGGCGTGGCCAAATAATCTCCATGGAAATGAGATATGCCAATGCTTATACAACTGCATACCAAATATCACTGACTTACCACTAGTGGTTCTCCATAAACTGACCTAATCACAAACTAATACATGTAAACTAAGCAAAGTTTCAAAGTCAATAGACCTTGACTGAGGGGGCGGGGCCAAATAATCTCCATGGTAATGAGATGTGCCAATGCTAATACAACTGCATACCAAATATCATTGACCCCACCACTAGGGGTGCACCATGAACTAGACCTAATCACAAACTAATACATTGTTGACGCCGCCGCCAGAAACAGCATACCTATGTCTCGCTTTTTGACTCTGTCAAGGCGAGACAAAATGATAATTTTTTTTTCTTAATTCAAATATATTATATGAAACAATTTCCCAAAATCATCAGTACTTTTCTAAAAGAGTTTTATCTTTATGTATCTTCTGTGGTAATGAATTTTGTCAGCACAAAAAAGGTAAATTATATAATAAACAAGAATGTGTCCATAGTACACGGATGCCCCACTCGTACTATCATTTTCTATGTTCAGTGAACCGTGAAATTGGGGTCAAAACTCTAATTTGGCATTAAAATTACAAAGATCATATCATAGGGAACATGTGTACTAAGTTTCAAGTTGATAGGACTTCAACTTCATCAAAAACTACCATGACTAAAAACTTTAATCTGAAGCTGGACAGATGGATGGACGCACAGAACGAAAAACATAATGCCCCTAGGTGGGGCATAAAAAAAGATCAATTGATCATACAGTTGAAACCTTTTTGTGTCGAAGTCGAAGGGACTGGACCAAAGTATTCGACTCATCCAAGGTCGAGTGTGTCGTCAAAAATTTGGAATGCAAGAAATACAGTATGAGATTTGCGTAAACTAGATACTTTGAACAGTGTGCCTTTTTTCGATATGACACACTTTATAATTGTGTATGCAATCGCCATTGTTGGTCCTTCATAATAATCAAACACACAAGAACAGATACAAATCATGCACAAATAAAATCAATAGTCTACACAAATATTTATAATGGTCAGTCACTATAAATTATGAAATCATTCGCGGAACGAAATAAGTTCTGAACGGTCTCTGATGAGGGTGTCTGCTGTACATTAAATTATCATGAATTTATCATAATTGTCTTAATCCTTTATTTAATGTAATTAATGAGTTTTAATTCTGATGATTGATTTAATCTCGGCTAGTGTCATTTAAATTCGTTTCGTTTTTATCTCATGTGAAATATGTTCAACACACTAAAGTTCCGCTTGAACAATCAACAAAGGTGCTAATTACCGGCAACCATAAACATGTCAATTTAACTGTTATACAAACAAGTATGTCTACTCAGCTTTAATCTCTTTTGAAAATGATTAGGTTACATAAGAAATACATCCCATTTGAGTTTTTATCATTAGGTCTGCATCTTTCGAAAATTCTTACTTTCAGGCTTCGAGACATCGGGGTCAATTTACATTAATTTTATATCGAGGGGACTATAAAATTTACTCGACATAACCTAGTATTCAAATCAACCGAGTTTGACTCATCAGAGGTAATTATGCATTGATCAAACGGGAATTTTACCGGGACCGAGAAATTACTTCGACACAACCGAGTTCGACACAACGAGGTTGGACTGTATCTGCAACTATAGAGTCTATCTTTGTATAAGACTGATAATGGCAAGAATTTACATATCTTTTCTAGGCTTTTTTTACAAGATTCTTAGTTGTGACTAGACTAATTACATATTTTTTTATAGACACTTACCATACATTTGAACCTTTCCCTTTCGTCTGCCTCTACTGTATCAGCAACAGCTGCAAACATATATCCAACCTTATTCTTTACAGCATACCAAGCTCCCATACACTGGTATCTGATCTCTGTCAAATATTTATTAAATCAATGCAGGATATTACATATATAAGAGATTATAAAATGAATAATTCAATAGGAAGCACAAATTAATGGTTAAAAATTGTACCATTTTGATTTTTTACGAATTTACAGGGAATAAATACATCCAAAATCTGTAACTTACATATGCATCTAAACTTGTAGCTTGCAAATTTAACTACTTGTATATGAACATCTGTGTCCATTTAACATTTTATTTTCTCCTAAAAATAAATACATACGTTGATCTACAGAAGTTGATACATCACGGCATTTGGCAAAATTCATCAGAAACATTCTGTTATCAACATAAGCAGAACCAGGATCTTGACAAGCTTCAATCCTACTTCTTGGCTCATTACAAATACCACCCAGTGAAGTTGTTCCTCCGACTTCATAGGAAAATTGATATACACCTTCTATTGTAGTAATACAGTTTAATTTGACTACAGATCGCCCTGGAAGAAGAGAAATATACATGAGATATCACTTCAGGTCAATTGGCATATTACGATATTTTGAAAAACTTTATTGAATTTTTTGTTAAATTGTTTACCTTAGCTATTGTAAGGCAAAGGAAAAGTGTGTTTAGTTTTTTGATACAACATGAAAATGGTTATGGTCAGTATATATTTAAAATTCTATCTTCAAATCTTGTTATTTAAGGAATTTTGGGGTAAAAAAAAATCATACAAATGCACAAAAACGGTTTTTATCAATACAAAAAAAATCAAAATTATAGGTCACCAAGCATGTTTTCAACATATACAAGGTGTGAAAAATTGACACATTTTGTCATGTTTGTAAGGATAATACAGAGAAAAGGTATTAATATAAAATATAAAGAAATCTTGTACATTGTATTTAGAATATGAAAAGAAAAAGTGGTTACCCTACATTTTTTCTTCCTACAATACAATATAGAACATTTTACTGTTCACTCCTATATAAAAGTTATCTGAGTTATCTCCTGTTATAAGGCTATAAGTTTAGAGACAATTGAATTAATAAGTAAATGGGGAATGTGTCCATGGGACACAGATGATGCCCCTGCTTGCATATAACTTTATAAAGGGATATAACTCAAAAACTGTAAAAGTGACACTACCCAAATTTGTACTTGATCTGAGTTTTGCGGTAATAAGCATTGTGTATAAGTTTCATAACTTTTGGTTGAGGCAAACTAAAGTGAGAGAATGGAAACGAAAAATTTAGCAATTTTTCAATTTGTAAAGGGGCATAACTCTAGAACAGTAAAAGTGATGCCACCAAAATATTCAAACTTGATCTGTGTTTTGTGGTAATAAGCATTGTGTATAAGTTTCAAAACATTTGGTTGAGGCAAACTAAAGTTAGAGAACAGAAACGAAAAGTTCAGCAATTTTTCCATTTGTAAAGGGGCATAACTCTAGAACAGTAAAAGTGACGCCACCAAAATTCAAACTTGATGTGTGTTTTGTGGTAATAAGCATTGTGTATAAGTTTCATAACATTTGGTTGAGGCAAACTAAAGTTAGAGAATGGAAACCAATTCTGGGACGTACGTAAAAGAGGGACAAGGGTAAAACTTAATGTCCCCTCCGCTATGGCGGGGGCATAAAAATATACTGTATTTGCAAAAACAGTTGTTATTTAGATAAAATATTATATTTTTCATTTTAATGAAATGTCTTATGGAAATGAAAAGCATCCTGCCTAAAATATGCTTATGTCATTAAAATTCAAGGCCAACCATTTTCTACTTTCTAATGATCCAAGATAAAGGAAGACCACCTTAAAAAGAAGTGATGTGTATAACACAAAATTGAATGTAAGAAATCAATCTGAAGTTGGTCCAAGATAAAAGTACATGTACTTACGAAACATAGTGACTGCATTGTCCATATCAGGTAAGCCCTCTTTTTTACCTGTGCATGATGTATCAATAGAAATGTTTCCTGAACTTAACCTAACACAATCCTCTGAAATAGAAACATGAAATAACGTATTTTAATAACATTTTTGAAAATGAAAAAAAAAGTGCAGACCTTTGGTTCCCTTTGTTAAATTAATGTGATCATTATTTAACAATGAGTATAGATACCTATCTTAGTGTTGAATACAATATTGACCTCTAGATATCGATTCTGGTTATTTTGTTGTTGTCTATAAAATTGAGAATGGAAATGGGGAATGTGTCAAAGAGACAACAACCCGACCAAAGAGCAGAAAACAGTCGAAGGCCACCAATGGGTCTTCAACACAGCGAGAAAATCCTGAACCTGGAGGCGGGCTTCAGCTGGCCCCTAAACAAAAATGTGTACTAGTTCAATGAAAATGGACGTCACACTAAACTCTACAGTATCTAACTACCTAAAATTAATGTCACATGCATAAAGTAAATTTATTGAAAATAAAATGCTCCGCTGGGCACAGCTTGATACGACCGCAGAGGTCGAACCCTGAACTGTTGGGGCAAGTATGGACACAACATTCAAGCTTGATACAGCACTGAATTTGGATTGTGATTAAATATTTGACACAGCATAGGTTTCTGACACAGAATGAATGTGGTCTAAGAACTTAAAAAAATTTTAATTGACCTATTCAAACCATATCATTATTATTTGCTTTTATATATAAATCAGAAATACATGTAACCAATTTAAAATGGAAAATTTTCTTTTAAAGAACAAAAAGGAAAAAATCCCCCCTCAAATTTTTTGAACCCCCTTATGATTCAGCACCCCCAAACTCAATCCCAGCCTTCCCTTTGTGTTACAATGTATGGTGCCTTGCAGTACAATTTCAGAGAGATCCATACACTTGAACACAAGTTATTGTCTGGAAACTAGAAAAATGCTTGTTATTTTGCCCCTTTTTGGCCCCAAATTCCTAAACGTTTAGCAATTACCCCCAAACTCAAACCCAGCTTTCCCTTTGTGATATGGAACCTTGTTGTACAATTTCATAAAGATCCATACACTTACACACAAGTTATTGTCCTGAAACTGTCCTGATACTCGCTTTCAGTCGCTTTCGTCATCGGCAATATTCAATTTTTAACAAGTCGATGAAACAGCAATTTTTCAGTAAAAAGTAAAGAAATTCAAAGACATAAACGATTTATTTTCTTCAGAAAAGAGGTTAAAGCATTGACTTTAAAGTTGGTTGCATGTTCTTTCATAAAAACAATTTTTTATCACTTCCGGTACTTGTTAGAGAGCGTACATCAAATAATTCTAATTTTCGGCAAAATAAGTTTGTTACTTCATTAGAACGTGATGAAATTTGCCTGAAGTAAATTTGTTATCCATGTATTGCATTAAAAACATCATATTTCTTTCCAAATAGCGAGTCAAACATCGTTTATTTTTGTAAATTTTTCTTCGTCCGGCATTGAAATATTTGTACTAAACTACTGATCGGAACCGGACCAGCTATGACCGAAATCCGGATTCTTACGATAATGACTACTGAAGAATGAATGGCACAGCTGACAGAGGAATATTGATCCCAAAAAGGAAAAATTACGCATTCCACGCGTATTAACATACTTTTGGTTAGATCTTCTTGATTAATGTATATATTTCCATGTATATGAATTGTTTCAATTTATTAATTAAAATTGCTCAACTCTGGGACTACTATACTATATGTCCAAGCTTAACTGTGTTAAATTTATATATCTTTTAAATGAGAATTTTAACCACTGAATTTCACAAACACAACAGAGTACATTTTAAACAGAAATAACAACTTTCTTTTCCTTTTTGATTTAAAAAAAATCTTTTTTATTATTGCTATAGATATTAAACTGGTTTTTTTCTGACAAGAGGACTAATATGATTGTGCAACTAGATATGATAAAATTAAACAACTTTGAATTTGAACTGTTACTTTTATTGTACTCCCAGGTACAAATTGAACAATATAAAAAAATAAGATACATATGGCCCTTTGTATTATAGTAAAACCAAACATTGTAGCGCAGCGAGCGAACAAGCACTTCTCTTTCAAATCTCACCACTTCCCCCTCTCAGTTTCAAAAAGAGAAGTCACTTCTCCTTATGATTCTGAAGTAGTGTGAGCCCTGTTAAAGGCAGTAAAATTAAGACATTTTGATATTATAAATACAGAGGGGTTTCAGTGTTTCAGTTATTTGAGAAATAAACACTGTAGATGTAGATGCACCATTTTCAGATGAGATGAATCTCCATTAAAAATTAAAGACAACATATTTTAAGTAGTGAAATGTTTTTAAATTTACTTACGTCTTCTGTACTGTATAATATTTGGAGTCCTGTACAGTACATCTATACAGTAATAACATTTGTTTGCATCGGTTTCTCCACTGAAATGACAAATGAAAAATATTGCATCAGGTTTCTGTTTAGTTTCAAAGTTTTTTTTGTACATAACATATAAATAGTTACACTGGAGAAGTGGGTCTATACTGCCTTCTCTTCTTTCCGGTGTATACCTGATTCCGGTGTAATGTTAAAATCCGGGTTTTTGTTGACATAAAAGCATGTGCATGGGTCAGAGGTCGGAGGTTACAGACAACTGGTTCCCCGCTGTATGTCAACGGATGTAAATACATTAAACAGTCTTCATTACAGGTAAAAAATATTTATTAGCTCAACATAGTGTTTTTTCATCCATTCCAAAACCATTGATATGCCATGAAATTTCAAGCGATCTAAAAATATTGAATATTCATCCAAAATCAATCTATTGTTATTGATTTATCGTCTGCCATGTGCAAGTGGTCTTAAACAACAGTCACGTGATTATAAAACGTCCTAATGATTCTGGAAAAAATCTATGGAAAGCCTGCTTAACAAAAATGAACAATTTTACAATGTTTTTAGAAAAAAGTTATTTATCATTTTTTTTTTATGTTATTGAAAATGATTTCTGTTGATTGAATTCAATTGAAATTAATATAAATGGATATGAAAAGAACATTTACCATAGATTACTGTGCTGAAAGGACAAAATTCTTGCACAATGAATATAACAAATGCTGCTATACAGTACAAGTAAAATAATTGCAGCTATATATGAGAAAAAAAAAAGTTTGCTAAAAATTTAATTCAAAGCAGATTTCAGTTTTTACTGGTCATTTCCATGTTTAAGTGTTTATGAGTGTTAATTTTTATTACAGATATCTTCAATTCTGCAGTGATGATTATGAACATTAAGTGTTTTGAGGAGAGGGAATTGTTCTTTACGACCGTAAACTGTAACACAGAACAATTTTTTTTTCATTATTCTGATTCAAACACACACACAATAGTTTTAGAATTGTTTTTATAATCATTTTTTTTTTATGAATCAGGTAATTTTTCAAATATTGAAAATTTGTGAATCACTCAAATAAAATTATTTTTAAAGATTTTTCACAATAAGAGTAAAAAAAAATTTATATTTTTTTTCTTACAATTTTATTTTTTTAATCTTGCACATTTGACTCTTTAAACACTTTTCATCTTGCCAATTTAAATTGTCCTGAATAAAACAATGTTTTGCTCATCTGTATTTCTTTACTAGAATATAATGTTATTTGATGCACAAAATAGGGTGCATTAGTGTTCTACGTTGTCCTCCATATTATATTTTACCTTTGCACCGGAAAGAGGTTATTAAAAAAAAAAATTTGTAAGGGTTCCGCGGAACCCAGTGTCTCGCCTACTTTTGCTGTTAATAGCAGGCTCAACAAAAATGAGGAAAAAAATTAATAAAAATATTCCTCTCTATACTTTCTTTTGAATGTAAGTAGCTTCTGTCCAAGTTTGGTAAAAATCCAGGATAGTTTATGAATCTAATAAATGTTTTAAAAACTTAAACTGCAGACTGTATGTAATGTTAACTGGGAGAAAAACAAAGTCCATTTATAAGTAAAAAACGGAAAAAATGGAACAAAATTTTAACAAATTTTCCTTCTAGATACTAGCTTTTAATCATAAACAAGCTTCTGTCCAAGTTTGGTACAAATCCAGGATAGTTTAAGAAAGCTGTTAAAATTTAAAAAAACTTGAACCACAGAGTGAATGTAATGTAAACTGGCAGAAAAACTAAGTCCATTTATAAGTTAAATACGGATAAACTGGATTTTTTTACAAATTTTACTTCTGGATACTATCTTATGATCATAAATAAGCTTCTGTCCAAGTTTGGTACAAATCCAGGATAGTTTAAGAAAGTTGTTAAAATTTTTAAAATTTTAACCACAGAGTGAATGTAATGTTAACTGGCAGAAAAACTAAGTCCATTTATAAGTAAAATACGGAAAAAATGGAATTTTTTTTTTACAAAATTTACTTCTGGATACTATCTTATGATCATAAACAAGCTTCTGTCCAAGTTTGTTAGAAATCCAGGATAGTTTAAGAAAGTAATTAAAATTTCAAAAACTTTAACCACAGAGTGATTATTTGTGGACGCCGCCGCCGCGTCGCCGACGGAATGTAGGATCGCTATGTCTCGTTTTTTTGACAAAAGTCGAAGGCTAGACAACAATGGCGGATGGTGATCGCCGATTTTCAATCATTAATTGAACTGAATAAACTAGACAATTGGGTAACATATTATGCATCATTGTAAAGCTAAATATCTGAATTTTATTTATTTGAATCATATTTGTTCCATCTAGCTCGACCGGCAGTTGGATATGAAGAATAACATTTTGACCACCGAAATGGGGTTAACCCAGTATACATGTTGTAATGTTACACATTACAAGATATGCATGACTGGTACGCAACAGACTTTTTTAGCTATAACATATAACTTGATACAAGCAAATAAATTATTATTGTGTTATTATCTGGAATAAACAATCAATTATCAATCAATCTTGAGAATGCACAACTTAACATAAACAGATTTGCAAAAGGCCCATTATCCATATCTTAAAAGTTACATTTATGTTGTGTTTGTCTTGAAAATATTTGTAATATCCAGTTATACAGCATGGGATTTGCTTATTATTGAAGGCTGTACCATGACCTGAAGTTGTCAACATCCTTGTTCTTTGGTGAAAAGTTTTCTCACTAGCAAGCCTACCACATCATGCTATTTTCATATACAATGTACAAAAATGTAGATACATACAATATAGACATCAGCATTGTACTGTTAACCATGGAACTATTCATTCCACCAATGATAGAGCTTTGTTGTGGATGGGTATATCTTTCTACACATTCCAGCTGTTCCTGTGGCACAGAATCACGTCTCCATTTGTCGAATGCAACATTTGTCTTCACATCAACACCAGCTTCTTGTGAATACCAATCTCCGTGGTATATGAATGGTATGTTACATTTTGTGACTGGAAATATAGTTTCAGAAATATAAAATACATGGCATATCCCTTTTATAGTACAAAAAATCGTAAGGGTTCGGCGGAACCCAGTGTCTCGCCTACTTTTGCTGTTAATCGCAGGCTCAACAAAAATGAGGAAAAAAATTAATAAAAATATTCCTCTCTATACTATCTTTTGATTGTAAGTAGCTTCTGTCCAAGTTTGGTAAAAATTCCAGGATAGTTTATGAATCTAATAAATGTTTTAAAAACTTAAACTGCAGACTGTATGTAATGTTAACTGGAAGAAAAACTAAGTCCATCTATAAGTAAAATATGGAAAAAATGGAACAATATTTTAACAATATTTCCTTCTAGATACTAGCTTTTAATCATAAACAAGCTTCTGTCCAAGTTTGGTACAAATCCAGGATAGTTTAAGAAAGTTGTTAAAATTTAAAAAACTTTAACCACAGAGTGAATGTAAAATTAATGTTAACTGGCAGAAAAACAAAGTCCATTTATAAGTAAAATAAGGAAAAAATGGAATTTTTTTTTTATAAAATTTACTTCTGGATACTATCTGATGATCATAAACAAGCTTCTTTCCAAGTTTGGTACAAATCCAGGATAGTTTAAGAAAGTTGTTAAAATTTAAAAAACTTTAACCACAGAGTGAATGTAAAATTAATGTTAACTGGCAGAAAAACAAAGTCCATTTATAAGTAAAATAAGGAAAAAATGGAATTTTTTTTTTATAAAATTTACTTCTGGATACTATCTTATGATCATAAACAAGCTTCTTTCCAAGTTTGGTACAAATCCAGGATAGTTTAAGAAAGTTATTAAAATTTCAAAAACTTTAACCACAGAGTGAATATTTGTGGACGTCTGCCGCCGCCGCAATGTAGGATCGCTATGTCTCGCTTTTTTGACAAAAGTCGAAAGCTCGACAAAAATGTACCCAAATTGCACCTATTTTGCCAAAAAAGCGGATAAAATCATACAGGTTTTCTTACAGACTAAATCATTCGTATTTATATAATTTGCCATTGTGCACGTCTTTCAAGATATATATAATAGTTAAAGGACATTCAAATATACACAAAACCGGTACATGATAATTATCAACAGATGATGTATCCAGTGAAAAAAAATTAAAATCAACGGGTCTCACTAATTAGCGACAAGAAGACTTATTTAGTGTCAAGAAAACAAATTTAGCGTAAAAAATAAAATATCAAATATTTCAAATAAATAAACATTGAAACATACATTTAAATGCGTGTTTTTTTTGTTTGTTTAGATATAACTGTACATTTTTTCATTATTCTTAAAATTTTTAAGTCATTTTCTCTATTCTATATGGACACTTAATATAATCAGAGGATTGAAGAATTAGCTGTTCCTCTATGCTCTTATATTTATAATTAGAGTAATTATCATGTGTTTTTATTTACATTGTTTAACAGGGATTCAAATTAACATTTGGTATTGGAAGGTCCAGGACCTTTGACATTCCAAACTGAAAGGTCCACAACCTAAATTCCAGGTCCCACTTTTACTTGAAATATTTCATAACTCAGTAAGATACAAAATTAATGTGCTTTTGGTGTTAGGTTAGCTTGTTTCATTGTCAGTGTCACTGTTGTATAACATGTTTAATAATAAATGTAATTGTCTTGTATACTATGAATTCAAATAATCTTTTTTTTTGGTATTGGGGAGGGTGTCACTGTGGGTAGGTTTGTTGTCTCAACAATTGGTAAATTAATTACTTATTATACCATTTATAACCTCAGGGCTCACGTACACTACTTCAGAATCATAGGGAGAAGTGACCTCTCTTTGAAACTGATAGGGAGAAGTGGTGAGATTTGGAAGAGAAGTGCTCACTCAAGGCGCTACAATGTTTGGTTTTTACTATAATATAAGGGCTATATGTATCCCTTTTTTATATTGTTCAATTCATACCCGAGTATACAATTAAAGTAACAGTTCAAATTCAAATCTGTTTAAGTGTATCATATCTAGTTGCACTAGTTATATTAGTTCCTCTGTGAAAATAAAGTAAGAAACTTCCAGATTTTTACTGGCCCTTCAAAATTGAGAAGAAATTACCTCTTGGAATTGTAGTAATATGTTTACACTATAAAAACATCTACCTGTTATATCAACATTTATTAATGATAAAGAAAATTACTGTCACATTTAAGTATTTTGTCATGAAAAATTTGTGAACTAAAAGTAATTTTGAGTTTCTGTATAAACTATTTCCTGCTTTTTCTTTCTTTTCCATATATCTTTTGGTTTTCAATTCTTGTGTTTATATTTCATCCTCATAGATGTATTTTGTCACCTGCCTGGAATAATTTTTTTATTGTATTTGATCTGCAAACCCAGAATTACCCTTATCCGCCCCCGAAATCTGATCCGTTATTGTAATTGTCTTCATTTCCGGTTTATGGCATCCATTGTTTTTCAATGTTGTTTTTGTCAGTCAGATACGATTTTACCCGGATTTACACATTACTTGTTGGCGATTTGGTATAAAGCTAGCAGTTGAACAAAAAGAACATTGCTGTCATGAATAATAAAGATGAAAATAAATTTTGAGATCGTTTGGAAAATTTTGGTTCCAAAATTGGGAAAAATATAGCATTGGGAATGAGTCCGAATACCGGACCCTGTGGCATGCTAGAAAAATCCATGGAGGGGTATACGATATCAATAGTAATATGGCTTTGAAATGACCATACTGATGGTTAAAAAGGTCAGCAAAGTTAATTTTTATTTTCTTTCAAATCGAAGGTCCGTCGGGTGTAGCTAGTAACCAAAACGAAAGTACGATTGCAATAGTGGAAGGTCAAGGACCTGGGACCACCACTAATTTGAACTGCTGGTTTAATTATCAATTAACTCCCTGTTGAAACATTTTAATGTTCTGGGGTTACAAAATGTTCAAATTGATACATTCTTAAAAAATAATGCAATAATTTTTTTTACTAAAAAATCATTACAAGACTGTAGTGCTACTAAATAAAACAAAATTTGAAACAACAAATAAGCAACTGCAATTTATTTACTTTTTCTATAAATTTATTGTTGTAATAGAATATAAAACTTTCTTGTCGTTAAAATTCCTCGTCACTAACTAGTGAGACTGAAATCAACGGAAACATTGCATGCAACATCCACAAAAAGTCCTTTTAAAAATGAGCAATTTATACATGTTACAGGCATCAACTTCTTACAAAATGAATAATAAGCATGAACTATTGAGATCTATTGACATATTGTTCTAAAAATGTGGAGAAATAAAACAAAACATTAGTTGTACAATTTTTACAGAAGTGAAGTTAAGCATGGGTACAATTTAGATACTCCTTTTTACAGAATTTTGGGTTGTTTGGTAGTAGGTCTAAACCATTTTTTTCTATAATTCAGTAGGCTTCAAAATTAAACCTGAGGAGATGTATAGAAAATAATGATGCATCTTCAAAATGAAAAATAATGGAAACTTTTGTGTGTTTTTTAAATAAACGTAGGGGAAAACACTTGTCAAAATAAGTGCAATTTTGGTACCCTCACACAAGACTTAACAAGTACTACCTTATAAAAAATTATATCCAATGCCTTCAGATGGAAGCATATTTTTAAAACATCGACTTTTTGTGTCGACTGAGCCAAAGTAGATCTTCCCTAACTAAACAAGTTAGAATTACTTCATATCTGCAGTTATACTAGTCCAAATAATTATGACATCTTGAAAGGCTGACACGCCTTCCTTCGAAATTTCAAGACTTAATAATTATTTGGACTACAGTTATACAACAAATTTATGAAAACATACTTTTATGATTTTGGTGTAAAGGATCCTGTAATTACCTGAAATGTACACTTAACCATAAAAGCATAATGATTCAGTAACTATTAACAAGAGTATACCGTTCTCCGTGATTGTTTTTTGTAAAATATTTTAAAGGTAAACAAATTATTTCACCAATCCGGAAATGAATCAGGTGTTGATTCAACACTTGGGTAATGACATAATGTTACCATTTGCATATTATGTATTATCTTGTCTTAGTATGTAAATATTTTTCTCAAACCTGCAAGTCTAAAATTCAAAGATAAGTATAAGATACAAACAGAAAATGGGATCAATTTGATCGCCATTCTGTTTTGATTTCAACTATGGCGGCACAGGTAATAAAGTAAACTGGTTTTTTTCCCAATACAATGAATAGCGCATGTTAACGATAAGAAAATAGTAAACCAGTCATCATCCAGGTGATTCCAGGTGCGAATGATGACAGGGACTGCTTTCGAGACATTTCGGCAATGAACAGTTCGGCCATGGAATGTAGGACAGAATGTCACAATTCAGTTTTTGAGATTATTTTCTTTGAATAAGAAAACAGTAATTTTTGAATTTTTCTTGAATTATTGTATATATAGAAACCAATTTTGTAAACATTTATTAAAAAATATCAATAATGATCAAACAATTGTTAAAAAAACAAAATGTCAAAGTTGCTTGATACTTAAACGGCTTCATGCATATGGTGCCAATAAATATATCCTTTGCATAATTAACATTTAATAAATCTTCATTTATCAAGGTTAATGAACAATTTCCTAAACTGTAAAATGAATATATGTAATAAAATACTAGATGTTATGAAGGGAATATACTATATAGTAATATATAAAGTATATTATAATGATTGTGTGGCGTTCTATAACTAGATGTTATGAAGCGTAACTGTTTTTTTATATAATCTAGAACAGCTGGGATAACTACAACCACTGAACTACAGGGTCCTGACTTGGCGACGAATACATATATATAGCAGAAGACACGTATCTTGTAGACACTCCTGGTCTCGCTCCGTTTGGAGATACTTCGAATAAATATTACCTGAAATAAATAATATTGTCAGATTACACACAATGCACCATGATTGTTCCACTTGTTTCGTAAAGCCAGGGATACAGTTTGTCCTACCCTAATGTTATTTCTGTATGCCAAATTAAAAAAAAACTTGATTGGAAACAAAGTTGGTAATTGGCAAATGGACTATTCGGTGATAATATTTTCTTAAAATTAAAGGATTTATTTGGACGCTTTCATGCATTTTGGAAAAAAAGTATAAATAAGCAGCATCTGATATTTCACGATCAGAAATATCAAATTCATATATATATTCCATTTTTTTCCAAATTCTACATTATAATTTATGGTACAGTCTTATAGAACGACATTGCTCAGAGAATAATTATTTAGTTATTAATATTTTGAAAATATTCATGTTAGCTTTCATTTTTTATGTCATTCAAATGTCGATAGTTTTGAGAAAACGGTGAATGTTTAAACTTTTATTTTTCTAAGATATATATCATATTGTTGGTCCATTTTGACAGACATATTTCTTTTTTCATTTTTTTTTTGTTGGTGCGCTTTTTGATAACGCTTTGAAAACGAATGCATTTAAAATCGCATTCACAATCCGATATTAATACTTGACTACCACTGCTTATTCTTTCTCGATAATTTTTCTCGATAAACCGAACGGCATCTTGAGTAAGGATTTTAGCTCCTCTTTTTTTTTTTGAATTTTTGACAGATATTCAGTATCCTCTGGTTTTATCCATGTAGTGCAATTAAAACATTTTCCCCGCAAACCCCTACTTTTCTTTTTATATTTTTATTACATATAGTTTTTAAAAGCCATATTTGAACATCTTATAAAATCCTTGTTATTTTTTCATAGTTTTTGAAAGAAAAAAGGTGCCATTGTTAAATGTATGAACAGTCTAGAGAGAATCACTTCCCGCCAAATTTTCAATGGCTTATATCTTGAAAACAAGCACACCCTTCGTTTTTTTCTGATTTTTTAGTTCTTTTATTCATATACTTTCAATTTATAACAGTCTTTTAAAAAGCTTGTTATTTTGAAACAGAGTAGCGAACATCGTTAAAGCAACTTCGAAGCTAAATCCAGAATTTTTAAGGACTTCCAACGTCACGGTGCGGAATGGTTACTGACTTATCGGGTTTTTTTCTGCGTTTCCTGACTAAACGTGTTCAGCAACCGACTATTCGGGTTATTTTTTTTAAAGTGAGGGTTGGTGTATCACAATTCTTTTTAATAAATATAAATTAAGAAGATGTGGTATGAGTGCCAATCAGACAACTATCCATCCAAGTCACAATGTGTAAAAAGTAAACATTTATAGGTCAAAGTACGGCCTTCAACACGGAGCCTTGGCTCACACCGAACAGCAAGCTATAAAGGGCCCCAAAAAGACTAGTGTAAAACAATTCAAACAGGAAAACCACATTTGTTATTCTATACTTGTCCTTAAATGGGCTTTGAACTAGCTGTCAGTAACTGCGAGTACTTTCAGATCTGTACTTAGCGTCCTTTTTGTTGTTAGGGATGAAGGGTGGATAAATACCCTGGCACGTCCGGTCTGTGTTTATGTTTTATGTTTTTTCTGCTATGTATCGATCTGATGAGTTGAGCTTTTTTCAACTGATTTTTAAAGCTTGTTCTTATGTTGTGCTGTTACACCACTGTCCCAGGTTAAGGGGAGGGTTAAGCACTCACAAACATGTTAAACCCCGCCACATTATTTATGTGTCTGTCCCAAGTCAGGAGCCTGTAGTTCAGTTGTTGTCGTTGGTTCATGTCTGTCATATTTGTTTTTCGTTAATTGTTTTTTTTTTATAAATTAGGCCGCTACTTTTCTCAATTGAATTGTTTCATATTTTTCATGTCGGGACCTTTTATAGCCGACTATATACGGTATGGGTTTTTCTCATTGTTTAAGGCCGTACGGTTGCCTATAATTGCTTACATCCACTTATTTTAACTTTTGGTGGATAGTTGTCTCATTGGCAATCATACCTCATCTCCTTATTTTTATATATACTTTACGGAATTTTAGAGTTTTTGTTTGAAAATTAGAATACACTTGCTTGAGCAGGTCCATTCTTTTTTAAATCAACTTCACAAATCAAACAACATGAATGAAAATGCGGACACTTTTGGTTGAAATCTATATTATTTAAGTCAATATTTGAAGATTTTAATTACATTAGTATAAAAATAAGAAGATGTGGTATAATTGCCAGTGAGACAACTCTCCACCAGAGACCAAATGACATAGAAGTTGATAACTATAGGTCACCATATGACCTTCAACAATGAGCAAACAATTCAAACGAGAAAACTTACGGACTGATTTATGTAAAAACAATGAACGAAATACAAATATGATATACATCAACAAACGACAACCACTGAATTACAGGCCCCTGACTTGGGACAGGCACATACAGAATGTGGCAGGGTTAAACATGTTGGCGGGCGCCCAACCCTCCCCGAACCTTGGACAGTCTCTTTAGGCGAATGTTCAAGTAAAGAAACTTTCACACTCCTTGAAATAATGTTACCTATACTATTTTGCGGTAAAATATCAATTTTGATTTTGATGACAACGGACTATATATAAGTGTTTCCGGTACCGAACTATCTGTGTTTACTTTAACATCTCTATAGGAATAAACATTCTTGTTTTTCTGCATTTATCTATACATGTAAACTGGTACAACGAACTCGCAACCGAAAACTAGTCCGAATTATGGTACGTGTGTGGGTCCGTCGGCCCAGTTCATGCATAAAAAACGAAGAAAAAAAAAGTTTCCTTAAAATTCCTTGTCCGGTTTTGGCAATACCTTAGGTCCTTTTGGTTGATCAGCTCTTCAACGTTTATATTAGGTTTTGGACTTTCAAATATTTTGACCTCGAGCATCACTGAAAGAAATTAATTGTCGAAATACGAATCTGGTGCCGTAAAATAACAATTTTCAATACGTACAGTAATTTAATCATTTACACCCATCATCATGACAGTGGTTGCAAAGCTACTTGTTAATTTCAACTTTATTTTGAATTAGGATTACACAATCTTGATTATGTAGTAGGCCCTTTTGTTGTTTGTACAACATTGTCATTCATTTATGACAATGTTATTCGATGTGTTTGAGCATCACCGCTCTTCAACACTTTGAACAGTGGACCATTCATTGGATAGCAATGACCGTTTGCCCCGCCTTCATAAATTGATAGACAACCCGTCTTTTGAAAGTCCTCTCGGGACAATTTGAAAAAAAAAATTATTAAATTAAAAATAATTTTCAGTAGAAATAAACTACTTTTTCCATTGTTTTTCAAAACAAGCAATGCATTTTTCAAGACATTTAGTCAAACAGTTTTTAAAAAACAAAAATGCACCTTCTTCCAAAAAAGGGAAAAATTAACCAATCAGAACGATCGTTCCTTAGTGAGTTGATCTAATAAAGTTTGTTTGACTGATTACGCTCGCACGCCCTTTCGCTAAGCTTGGCCGCAGTTAAGTGTAAGAGGTCAATGTATTCAAGTGAATTTAAGTTCTGTGGTACATTCAAATGTACAATGGGTAAATGTCTTGTTAAAATTTATCTTATCTTTGATGTGCCGCATAAGCATCCCTGTAAAGTAAAACAGTCCGTGCATGACCCATGATAAAGATATTTTATGCATCTGATTGGTTATTTTCTATTAAAATCCAAACCAGTTAGCAACCTATATTAAATTTACGTCTAAAGACAAATTTGTGTCAAATATTTTTGTATAATCTTAATTCCTGAAAATTTAAATTATCTGAACTCTAGAACAGATCTTTTCGGGACGTCGAGTTGGGCCTTTATATTTGTGTGAATTAGGGATTTACACTTATTCGGGAAAAATGCTTTATTTTTTCGGGATTTCGGTATGCTGCTTTTGTTTTTTCCCCTGAAATTCAGGATTACACCCTCCTAGCACCACCACCCCCCCCCCCCCTTCTCTCTCTCTCTCTCTCTCTCTCTCTCTCTCTCTGTATGAGAATTTGAATTTATTAAATATTTGCTTTTCTTACCTGCAGTTTTTGTTTTTCTTTATATGGAATGACTTCAGTTTAATATGGGCGTGGAAATCCATCACTTTTGTCCAAACAACTGTCCTTTATGGTAAAGATTGGCGTGCGATTGTAATTGAAACAATGTAATTTATATATAATGACATTGTAATAGTTTAGGACACAGTTACATCAGTATCAAAAGATAATGTACTTTATTGTGGAAGCTGTGGACTACTGGTTCAAAATAAAATTGATTTCGACAAGTTGCTTTGTAACCACGGTCA